AGCTCTGAATCAAACATGTTAAAAACCTCGTGTTGTGCACACAAAAATGGCAAAATTGTTAAGCAGAAAGAGTTTAAAACACCATATTTAAAAACCAGAAGAAATGAAGGGAATGGATAATGAAAGTTGCTACACTGGGAAAACCAAGTGGTTTGCTTTTGTTAAGTTATGGCAAAAATAGAAGAAAGTATTTCTTCTGAAAATAAATTACTTCAGTGGAATAAACTGGCTTAAGGCTGGACTAGTGCCTCACCCACACAAAGCACTCCTTGTGCCTTGAACTCAAGAAGCAGCTGGTTTCAAACACCTGAATGTCACTGGCACAGAACAGTTTAACACTTCTGTCCTCTCACAGGGCTTTGCACTGGGTGACTCCCCAAATGCTGTGTGTTCCTGTCAATGAAGAAATTCCAGAAGTCTCTGATATGGTTGTAAAGGCAATTACAGGTTTGTGAATGATAAAGTTTACATTTGCAGCTTCAAATTTCATCTCTCTTGCTTATAGAGAGTCGATCACCAGAGGGGGGGCCAGGCTGTTGGATTTGCAGGAGTCTTTGTGGTATTGGACTGGGATATCACGTGTGAGGCAGGAATAATTTTTCCACTACAGAAGTGTTTAGGCCTAACTGATCTGTTTGAAACACTTGGACTGAACCAAGAGAAGGTTGAATAAACAGATATTATTATGGAACAGCAAGAACCACAGATAGAAACGATGCAATATTAGCATTGCCTGCTCATTGAGGTGTCTGATTAATACACTTTTAATGATCTGAGAACTCTTTTTATCTTACAGATATTATTGAAATGGACTCGAAGCGTGTGCCCCGTGATAAATTGGCCTGCATCACCAAGTGCAGCAAGCACATCTTTAATGCCATTAAAATCACAAAAAATGAACCAGCCTCTGCTGATGACTTTCTCCCAACACTCATATACATCGTCCTGAAGGGGAACCCGCCCCGCCTGCAGTCCAACATCCAGTACATAACACGCTTCTGCAACCCCAGCAGGTTAATGACAGGAGAGGATGGGTACTATTTCACCAACCTGGTAAGTGCAGGAATACTGTGGGGTTTATACAAGGAGTTTGTCTTTTATTTGGATGTAGGAATTGCCAGTAAAGGGAAACATAATGTAGAAAAAAATTAAAATGATGGTTGAGGTTACTTAGAGTACAGCCAGTTCTGCTGTGTTTTATCTCCTCTCTCTTCCTTTTCTCCTTTCCAAACGAGGAAGTGCTTTTCTTTCTTTATAATCTTAAACCCTTGTTTGAACAGTCTGATGCTAAGACCGGGGTGTATTTTCATTCTACCAGGAAATAAGTCCTTTCTATTCCTAAAATCCCAAGTTTGAACAGTGCAGATGTTACAGATGCAAAGTTTCCTACTTGCAAGAGCCAATGAGATTTTTCTCTTGAAGGGGCTGCAGAACTAGGCCATTAATTTGTGGAGGTAAACAGGCTTTTTAAAGCTCCTGCAAGAGGCATTTATTGGTGTGCTCTGTATTTCATCCTGAAGCAATTTGTGAGGGAAATTATGTAGTTGAATGAAATACTTGGAATATTAAAAGCTTATTTCAGTAGGAGCAGAAAATCCACAAGATGAGAGGGGTATTTGACATTGCTTCCTTCAGAATATTAAGAGCATGGCAGATCTCTGCTGATCAGATTATTAAATATTAATTTAGTGCTCTTGTCTTGCTGTCGTGTTCCTTCTGTTCTCCCACCTCCCAAACCCCCTGAGGTGACCCTGAAGTTTGGAATGTACATTGCCCAGTGAGTCAGTGCTGTTCAACTGAGTTTTTGACTTCTTCAGACTTTGGGGAGAGGAAAGAGGCATATGAACTGTTTGGTACAGTGAACTTCTGGAAAAGATCAATCTGCTGGGGCATTAGAAAGAAATAATCAGTTACTGGTCTAACAGCAGGATCGGGAATAGAACACACACGTTCCAGTCTGTGGCTTGCAGTGATCTCTCTCTGTTTTGTTTGCAGTGCTGTGCTGTGGCCTTCATTGAAAAGCTGGATGCTCAGTCTCTAAATCTAAGCCAAGAAGATTTCGATCGTTTCATGACGGGTCAGACGTCCCCGAAGAAGCAGGAATCCGACAGCTTCTCCCCTGACGTGTGCCTGGGGGTTAAACAGATGTGTAAAAGCTTAGACCTCCTCTCTCAGTTGAATGAGAGACAGGAAAGAATTGTCAGCGAAGCCAAGAAACTCGAGAAAGACCTAATAGATTGGACTGATGGAATCACAAAGGAAGTGGAAGATATTGTTGAGAAATATCCGTTAGAAATAAAACCAAAAAGTCAAGCCTTAGCAGCCATTGACTCTGAAAATGTGGAGAATGACAAGCTGCCCCCACCACTGCAGCCTCAGGTTTATGCAGGATAATTATCAGTGTTAACTCTGAAAAGCAGCATTATCCTCACCCAGTACTATCTGCTACTTGGGAAGGGAAATAAATTTAACGCTAAAAATCAGACGAGCTTAAATCAGTACATTTTTAAAGGTACATTTTTCTTTTTGTTAAGTGTAACGAATTGTATTTATTTTAGTCGAGTAGATTTCTATTAGGCTTTTGTGGGTTTTTGAACTGAATTTAAATTTTCTACACAAACTGGTGTAATTTTTAAGCAACACTAGTCCATTGACATCTTTCCTGAAAGCTTCCTTCTAAGCATGCACTTAACTCGTTTTTAATGATTAGTTTAACCTGAATCCGAGTTCCAGCAGAAACTCAAAAGGTACCAATGTTAGTTTGAATTCATTCTGTAGCTGTAAAGATGAAATATATATTGTAAAATATGTAAAATTGTAAATAGATTTAAAACCTGATGTCTCAACTGTGCATGACAGCTTGTGTATGAGTGAAAATGATCTAAAAGTGTTCATTTTAGCACCTTTCAGTTACATCATGTTGCAGTGTAAAGGCAAAAACACTGTTAGTATTTGGATAAGCTGGATGGGAGAACTGATGAATTGCAGAAGATATTGTTGTAATGATTTGAAAACTTGACACTCAATCTGCTTTGTAAAAAAAAGGAAAAGTGCTATTTAAAAAAAATGACATTTCTCTTCATGTAAACCTTCTCCCTGCTTTGTCAGGACACCTGGTAGCCTTGAGTGGTGCACAGAAGTGCTGATGTTACTGCTTTGGAAGAGAACTTGGAGCCAGGCTTCAGAAACAGGAAGGAGTATTAGTATTAAAAAATTACATAATGTGGAACAAGAGGTGGGAGGGGAGAAGATCCTGCAAGAATTGCACCAAAAGTGGCTTTCTCTTCTGGCATTGCCTGGTCATTTCCAAGTGGGATAAGTCTTGGTTGCTTTTGTGACAATCCTGGTAGACAAATAAGTTCATATAATTAGAGGTTGCTTTTTAGAAGAAGCATGAGCAGAAAAATGCACTTTATTTTCATGAAACATCAATCTTCTGATCTTTAGTGACCCCTTTAGCAAAGGGATTGACCTTGAACATCAAGGTACATATGGCTTTGTGTCACTAAAAGTTTAGCTCTGTGTCTTTCAAGAATAACAGCTCACTCCACAAAAAAAGTAACCTCTTGCAATATAACTTTTTTATGCCAGTGAAACATTTTATATATCATTTGAAGTATCTTCCAGCTAATCCAGTTCTGCCGTGACTCCTTTGTATACCTGAGATATTGAACATGGAGCTGCTTTTAAGCAATGTTAAGTTCTTACCATCAAGGGGGAAAGTACCTACCTCTTTTATTAAGTTCCACTGCTTTAAAACACTGCTCTATTAAATTTGCACTGCAATAATTTCAGACCACGACTGTGATTTGTCCCTTCCTGTCAGATGTATTTATCCTCATAAACTATGCATCCCTGGTGTTCCAGATAACCAGCTCCCCAAAGCACCACTGCTGAGGTGCAGCAATGAGCTCACTAGAAATTAAATTTAAATTTCAATTATTCAATGTATCCATGTGTCACCGTGCCCAAATTGCTTCGGATCTGACCAGTGCTTGCAGTAAATAATACTGTAAAGGCTTTGGTTTTAAACACTAGGTGCTAATTCTGATATCCAGGTACACAGGTTTTCCTGAGGCAGGGTGGGGGGGAAGCAAACTTTTAGCTATTGTGTAAATTACCATGTTTAAATAAAAGTGTGTACATTATGCCCTTGTTAATGAATTCCTAAAAACCTCTTCACCCGGGTTTTGTTATGCTGTTAATGATTAATGTGAATATAATTAGGGCTGCTTCTGCATTCTCTGTGATTCAGAAGACAGCAATTCTCAGCCATTCAAGTGCAAGTCTGGGTAAGTCTTTTTTTTTTTCCTTTGCAGAAAGGTCATTGTAGTGATTAAGCACTTAACGATTTACTGGTGCATTTGTAACTAAAGTATCTTTTATGCATATGCCATCTTGTTATCAAGCCACTAAAGGGGGAGTGTTTTCAGCAAACAAATCAGGCAGGTAAGATGGATTTCCTCCTAGTAGTAATCCCTGGGCAGGGCTGTAGGACAGGGGTGTGCTCTGTTCCCACAAGTTTGAGTAAAAGACAGTGAGAGACCCCAGTTCTGCAAAACATTATGGAATTGTATCCATGAACAAGTTACTTGTGAAACTGAGTTTAACTGAAATATGCTCTTCTAGTGAATTGGAATACAGGTGCTGTGCTGTGGTGAGTCATAGTATTGGGGTTTTTTTCAACAGCCCACTGCTAGTTCAGTATCACTGAAAACAAAGACTGCAGCTCATCCTTGGGAACCAGAATTTACATTGTAAAATACTTCTTTCCGTGTGAGCTCCCTGTTTTGTTCAGTAAAGAAGATATTTCACAGGAAATGCTGGTTAATTAAACTGTGCGGCGGCTTTGGTTCCACACAACCGAGTTACGAAATTAAATTGATTTCTTCTACCCAGTTATCATCAGTGTTTACAAGTGCTCTGGGGCATATTCTCCTGTGGCTGGGGAGGGAGGCACTGGCAGATGCTGGTACAGCTGGTGCTGCTGAACAGCGGTTTGGAAACGGGGGTTAAGAGGGTTGGGGGGACAAGGAGCGTTTTTCCATCTGACATAGAGCTGACCCTTGGAGGCTCAGACGCTCCAGTGGCTGCCACAGGAGACCCGACAGCTGGACATTTCATCCAGGCGTCCTGTGAGAGGTGAACACGTCCTGGGTCTGCAGCCAGGTGTGTACAGGGCTGGTGTACAGGATGAGTTTTTGCTGTCTGAGAGGCTGCCAACACTGCTACCTCCTGCCTTCCACAGGCCTCGGGCAGGAGGAGGCATTGACTGTGACTAGCAGTCATTAATTCAGGGCTGTCTTGGACATCTTTGAAGGCCTGAAGTTCAGGAAACTATTTAGTTTTACCCTCCTAAAGTACCAACTCCTGGCAGAGCCCGGCTCTGTCCATTCACCCATCCCTGCACCATCCATGTGCTTCCCTGGATTTGCTCTGGATTACAACTCCCGGGGAAAAAACTTCACATTATCCTCCTGTGAACATCATAATCATCACCATAATAATTATATTACCATTATATTAATATTACTGTTATCACTGATAATTATAATGATAAATATTAATGACGGTTCTGATGACGGTTTCTTCTGTTACGCCCTTTGCTTTAAGTATTTAACCCCGAACTCTTCAAGGTATTGGGCACCTTTAGAAAACTATCAAACGAAAGAAAAGATGTTTTGGGTAGTTTTTACTGGAAGTTTTTTATTGGAAAAGGGGGTGAAGAGCGGCTGGAGAAGGCGAGGAGTGTCGTGAGGGAGGGAGGAGCGGGGCTGCACCGGTCTGAGGGGACAAGGCGATGAACCCCGACAAGGTTCGGCGGAGTCGCTCCCGGGGCCTGTTCCTGCTCGGTGCCGCTCCCGAGCCCATTCCCGGTGGAGCCCATTCTCGTGGAGCCACTCCCGACCCCGTTCCCGGTCGGAGCCGCTGCCGGGGCCCCGCCCGCCGCCGGCTCCTCCCGCGCTGCCGGCGCCGCCGCAATCTTGTCCCCCCCGCGCCACCGTCGGCCCGCCCGGCGGGTGAGGGGTCACGGCTGCGGCCCCGGAAGCGGCGGCGGGGGCGGGCCCGGCCGTGTGTCTGTCCCGGGCTCCGTGTGTCTGTCCCGGGCTCTGCCCGGGGAGCGGCCTCTCCCCCCTGGCCGGGCAGGACGATGGTGCAGAGCCCGCCCGCTCGGCAGCGCCGCCGCCTCTGAGCCCCGCCCGGCCCGGGGCGCCGGTAAGGAGGGGACGGGGGCGGCCCCGCGGCCTGCTGGGGGTGGAGGGGGGGGCCCGGGGGTCCCGCCGGTGTCGGGAGCGGGCTCTGGGCCGGGCGGGTTGGGTTCGCTGTGGTTTGGCTCAGCCTCGTGGATTTTAGCCTTGGTTTGTCTTTATTATTTAAATTATTATTATTAATTATTTTTAAATAGAGTCCGTTAGCTTGAACTTTGTATGTGTGGCGTCGTACCAGAAAAAAAAAAAAAAGAGTAATTTCAGTAGCGCTGTATTTCCTTTTCAAAATAGCTTCTGAATAGTGATTCCTGCATTAGGCTTTTTTTGTTTGGTTGCGCCTTTTTTTTTTTTTTTTTTTTTTTTTTTTCCTATTCGCTACGTACTTGTATTTCATCCTCTTTTACTCTTGTGGGGTTTAACTTGACTAATGATCTCATGACGTCTTTAATAATAAAATTTCTGGTGCATCATGCCTAGGAACATGGCTGCTACATCCCCCCTGTTAAATTCAAACTATGTGTCGGAATCGCGGGTGTGGACACGCCGGGAAAGGTTGGAGAGAACAGATTACAGCACAGCTGGCTGTTGGGGTTTTTTTTTCCCCCCTCTTTCCTTTGTTTGCTGTTAAGAGTTTGTCTTCTCTGGGAAAATATATTGGCGGGATTAGCTCTGGCGGTGTAATTTTCCCTGTCAGACAAACCTGGAGTGTAGATAGGGATTCATTAAGGATTGCTCTCCACATCCTCGTCGAACTTCCATGAACTTTTTGTGATTGGAAGGAGAACCTGTCGTGGAAGGAGAGACCCTCTCACGGCCGGGCCTGATGTGGTAAATCATTACTGCGTTTTTATAAAGGCTGAGTTCCAGGAGACAATAATCCTTGTGCTTTTAGGCTGCACATACAAAATGTTTCGACTTTAATCCAGTGAGTTGCTGCCGCTTCCATCCCCCTCAGGTCCCTGGGAATCAGCCGGTGGCTGCAATCCAGCTCCTGGTCAGCAGGTGTGCCCAGGACAGGGATAACTTTTGTAGGCAGACTGAGCAGAGATCGTATTGAATTGCGAGATAACATTGAATTGTGCCTGCGGGACTGAATGATGCTCCCTGACCCCAGATTTAGTCGCATCAGAGAGGATTAAGCCCTTGGTAGCTTTGTTACCTCCCGCGATTTGAGGAGTGGCTCGGGGCCGGTGGAATGCGATTCTTCTCTTCCACTTGAAAGACAAGAACTTGAAATGCCGCCTGATAAGACAAAATAGTCACTGTGCTCTGTGAGCACCGGGGAGCATCCGAGGGCACGAACAAACAGACCTTGGTGCCCTTTGTGTGAGCCGGATGCGCCCGGAGAAACAGCGGAGAGGGAGCCTGGCACGTCCAGCCCCCTGTGTGCAGCTCCCTCCTGGAACACCCCCAGACCTGATCCTGCAGATCTGTCACCTGTGATCATCTCGGTTTTTTATTAAATAGCATAGGAGGTTTTGCAGAAATGAAGCTGTTTTATCAAACGAGCCCTAAACTGAGTATTAATGAAACTCGCTGGTGTCAGAATTTTGTTGCTTTTTCCAAATCTGCCCTTGCCAAAAGCAAGTATGTGTGGGAGTTTTATTTTCTCTTTGAGAAGACCGTCCTGACCTGTGAATAAAGCTGGTTCCCAGGACTCAGAACTCCCACGTTTTGTTTTGGAAGAAAACTGGTGTCCTGGCATATCGGTTTTTGTTAGTCGTCTGTAAAATGGAAACTGAACTCACCTACGGGAGTTTGGGCTGAGCAAAATAAAATCCTGTTTCCTTTGACCAGTGGGGGTGAAGTGATAATATTGCTGATGTGACATGATAATATTACTGCCATAGCCTTCATATTTCAGCTGTTGCCCAGGTCCCTTGTTTCGGTTGGTTTTGCTGCTGTTTCTATTTTCATAAGTGGCTACTGGCTGTTTTCCTGCTTGTCTCACACAGCCAGAATTACCTTCTTTCTACACCCAGAACTCTTTATTGTGCTATTCCCCAAAGCTGCCATTTCCTCCACTTGTCAGTTATTTTCTGCTTGGGATTCAAGGTGTGTATCTCTCTGCATCCTTGTCTCCTTACAGTTCTCATTACAGGCTGAAGAGCCTTTTTCTAGCGTTTCTCTGCACTTTCACTGCTGAATTTGGTACCACATTCCTTGACAGGTGGCTTTAAAGAAGTCAACAATTAACCTTATTAAACTGATCACTCAACCAGTTTCTGATTATTAAACTGTTAGTGAGCATTTACATATTTCTTGATTAAAGATGTCCTGTATTTGTTTGGCCATTGTCAGTACAGTATACACAGAATTTGATTTCTCATGGGTCTTTAAAGTTCCTATAAACCAGCATAGTTTTACTTTTGCCTTCCTCTCCCAGGTTCTCTTGCTAAGCAGCAGTAACCAAAATAGCATTTTTAATACAACTTTAAAGCCCTTCAGTCTATTATTGTATGTTTTATTGTAGTCTGTATTATATAGATTATGGTAAGTCATGTTGTAAGTCATGACTTTGGCTTGTAGAAGTTGGAAGGTTTAAAAATGCCCATATACTCTCCTATATGGAAGTGTCCTCGTTCCCGTGGCACAGGCTCACTTGCCCTTTTCAAGTTTGGCACCAAAATATGTCTTTTCAGTCAGAGGGAAGGTTCATTTTGATTTTACAGCTGGCTATGTTTTAAATTGTGTTTTTCACTTTTAACAGAAGTCAGAATTCAGGGTTCATTGGACCAGTGAAAAAAGGCTTCCTCACATTATTTATATTTCCTAACTTATAACTTCCTAACTTATAACCCTTTGCTGATTCTTCTTCTTTTTTTTTTTTTTTTTAAACTTCTAGCATTTAAAAAAAAATATTTGGAGCTTGTTTGGATTTGTCTGTTTCTGCATCAGTTTTTCTTCAAGTGGGAAATGAAAATCAGCTTTGCTGTCCCAGGAGCATCAGCTGGCACAGACTTCAGGTGCTTGTGGTAAATCCACCACAGACATTCTGAGCTACAACACGTATTTTTTGGGAGGGGCTGTCATACACAGATTGAGTAATGGGTGATCCACCTATTTTCCATTTGATTTTTTAAGTCATCTGCCTTTTATAGTAACTTTTCTGTCTTTATAGAGAGTTAAAGTCAGAAACATGGGTGTTTGAAATTCAGCATCAATTTGGTCTTTTAAAATTTGCTATAACCGACCAAATTACTTCCTTGGCTTTGTTTTATGGGCAGAACTGAAACGTTTGCTGTTCATGGAGCTCTTGGGGATGTTGAAATGCTTGATTATGCTTTGAAAAGGGTTTTGAGGGCTGGAGAGAAACATTTCATGCAAGTATGAAGCATTTTGCTTCATTCTGTTCTTGCGAGTCCCCAGGCTCTCAGGCTTTTGTTAATAATCCGCTTCCGTATTTATTATTTAGCAGAATAACACCAGGAAGGAATGTCCTTTTCAACAGGTGACATTCCCACTCTTCTTCTGCCCTGTACAGTGTCCTCTGCCTGTGCTCTTTGCATATGCAAAGGGCCAGGCCATTTTCCTGCCACAATTTCTGCTTCCAGGCTGTAGGGAAATGTGGGGAGTTTTATCAGTCAACATATTTGTCGAATAAAATAGCTCAGAAAACTGATAAGCCACTGTCTGGTTTGAGCCAATCCTCTGTTATCTCCCACTCAGGAGCTTTCTCCTGGAGCAGTCCTGGGGGAGGAGATGTGTTTGTGCACATCTGGCTGCAGATCTTTTGGTTGTGTTCGGTTGCAGGGGATTCAAGAATCCAAGGTGATGTTTTCAGCAGGTTTCACCCTCCTCCACACACCCCAGTCACTTCTCTTCCTCTGTGTTGTGGAGAAGTCCAGTGGCATTTACTGAGAGGTTGTTTACTTTGGTGTATTTTTTTAGCACTGAAGGACAGGAGAAGGAGAAGAGGCTCAGCTGGACAGAGGTAGTGCTCTGGTCTGGAGGATTCCCCTCCTTTCGTTCCTCTAGGATGAATTCCTCCTTCCTGGCTGCCCTTCTGCTGCTGACAGAGGTTTTAGGCTGTACAGTTTCATCCCACATGGTCCTTATTTGCTTTCTAAAAGGATTTTCCCACAGATATCAGCATGGTAAAGTAAATCTTGCACTTGGCCTCGTTGGACCTCATGAGCCCTCTGGATGGGATCCCTTCCCTCCACACAGCTTGGTGTCATTGCCAGATTTGCTGAGGGTGCCTTCAATCCCATGTCCACGTCATTTGTTTATCCCAGCTCCAACCCCAACTTCCCACCTCACACACCTGGGATCTGTTCTGCTTCACTCTTTTAGTTTTTCTGGTGTTGGATACCAAGCTTGGTTTGAAGAGAAGAAAACAAAATTAAAGGTAATTTTGGTACCTGCTGCTGTTTACTGCTCTGAAATGAGTGGCACTTTAATTTGAGATGAACAGCACTGCTTTGTTTGCATGTTATTTAGGGATGGTTTGCTAAGAAAATCACCCTTGGATTGATTTGTGTTAGTAAATATTTTTCTGGCAGCAACATTATTTTCACTCAAAGTGGTTAACCCTGATGTGACCCATTTCCTAACCCCATTGTACTGCTGGTAATGGGGCATCTTTGAAAACATAATTGATTTATAAATAAAGTGAGCTGCACAGCTCAGATTAAACTGTTCTGTGCAGTGAGATGTTCAGGCTTGGAAAACATACGAGGTCTTCATGGGGCAGTGCTGCCTGTGCCCTTCCCTTCCACCCCCACTTTTCTTCCTTAAGATATTTCAGTGGTGGTTTTGTATTTGAACCCCTCCTCTAGACTGAATATCTTTACATGCACAACAAGAATGGGAATTCTTTATAAGGAAATTCCATCATCTTAAGCTTTCTAGTGGGAAGGTGGTAGTTGACATTATGGCAAGATACAGGTAAAAATGTCAAACAGTTTTGATCTCTTTAAAATTCATGTTTGGGTGGGTTTTTTTCCTTTTGGCAGCTGCAATTTTGCTTTTAATATCTGCTTTAGTACAGCATACATTTTTTTATTGTTGTTAGGAATTCAGTTCCTTTGATATTAAGCTCTGAAATGGGAATTTAATACTTCAGCTGTGACTCATTTCATTGACTTTTGGTCTTTGCAACAGACTTCAAGATTTTCCTTATTTGTAATTTATTCTCGAAAAAACTCATCTGTCTGTTTCAGCAGTTTCCTTTTTTCATATATAAATAAGGAGGAATTACAAATGTTATTCCTTTGAGGTTGCTGTCTGTGATCTTGAGCTGTACCAGAGGGAAATTCCCCGAATTGCAGAATACATGACTATTTTCTTGCTTTTTAGACAGCTGCCCAAATCTCTGTTTCCCTGGGACTCTGGTAGATTAACTGTAGTATTTCCATCCTTTTCCATTTGTATCTCTTCACCTGTATAACAGAATTTCCAGACTTTGTGGGGCCTGATTTAAGAGCATCTCCAGGGCTTATCCAGGGTTTCCCAGTGAGTTCCATCAGCTGTAACTCTGCATTTGGTCCCGATGAACACCCTTCACTACCCAGCAATTACTTTGGAGCTGGTGGCCAATGTTCCAGGCTGGCAGTTTTCATTCTTCCTGTTGTACTTGAGCTACTTGTGCAGTAAAAATCTCCCCAGTCAGCCTAACAAGTATTAAAAAGCTTAGCCAGAGTGGAGAGAGGCAGCAGAGTCATTAGAGCCACTCACTAAATTATTTATTTGGCTAAAAAGTGAAATCTGATCTTGCTTGCCTGACCTGCCAGGAGGTAATAGCATTGGGTTTCTTTTTTTTAACTGTGTGAAGAAGAAATAAAAGTCTAAATCATATTCTTTAAGTTATTCATTTACACAGAGAAGGGAGTTAGTTACAACTGGAGCTGGTAAAAGAATTGTGTTTGTGTTGTGATTCTCACGGGTCCTAAGAGAAAGGAGGAGGTTAAGAAAGCCCTAAAATCTAGTGGGAATATACATTTAGACGTACCTGCAGTGATCTGGTTCACGAATTCTTTAATAATTAATGTTATTTAAGTACTTTGATAAAAAATCAGTAGCTCTTCGGGCAACAGCGTGGAAACATTTGTCATTCTGGTTTGCACCAGCCATATCCAATTGCTATTTTCATGTCAGCTCTAGTATTGAAATCCACAGTTGTTCCCTTTTCTCTCACAAATGCTCAAAAGGCATATTAGGCCTCGGAAATTGAGGCTTACAGCATTTTCTAATTGCTTTCAAAGCCGTTGAGTTATGGGAGCATATTAAGCAACTGGCACTTAAAAGCCGGTGATCTCTTACATAAAAATATTAGCCCAAATATTTTTCTGCGTGTGCTTTTCAGCACATCCCGTTTTATGGCTGAATTTAGGCCCTGTGGTAAACAAACATGCTAATGGAGCTGTTGGAAGCCCCTTTAAAAAGGACTCACAGCCCTGTCTGTGCTGTGAGTGACACTCAGCTCTGATTAAATGCTGCAATAAACCCTGCATCTGTGGTATTTTCAAAAGGAAATTCAGAAGGGAGCACTGAATACAACTCTGCTTTTGGTTTATCTTTTGATCTTTTTCCATCTCAACATGTGTCTCCAATGTTTCTAGATGGAGTGTTTGGGATTTTTAACTAGGGCTCATTTAAGAAATTTGCTGCCGGGGACAAGACAGGCAGAACGTGCGGGAGGGCGGATCGTCCCCAGCATGATCCCTGCCAGCACCAGCTCTGCCTTCCCCTCTCATTCCTGCCTCCTGACACCTTCACTGGCCTGTTTGGCCGTGGCACAGCTGGTCTGGGACAAAGAGAGGAGTGCTGGTAAGGTGCACATTTATCATCACCTTTTCTTTCCTCTCTCCTTCCCCCCCTTCCCCTGCACTGTGCTCTCACTCAGAGACACACGTTATTTTTGGAGAGGTGTTTGCAGCACCTAGTTCTTCTCACTGATAGTAAAAACTTGCTGGCTTTCCTGGTCTTTGCAGAGTGGATGAAAATGGGTTGATGATGCAAAATAGTAAACCCAGGACGTGGTCTTGTGCTCTGCAGAGCACTGTCTCAGCAGGTTTCACCCAGGAGAGCAAGTAGGTGTGTGGGGAGAGTGAGCAAGGCACAACTCAGTGTTGTGTTATTGCTGCAGGACCCCGGGGCTCTTCTCTGTGAGCTGAATTTTTCCCTCTCTCTGGGGCAGTTTTGCAGGTTTTGTCAGTATTTCTTCTGTTAATACTAATGGGAGCATTTCTGCCAGTAAAATCCTGAGTATACACAAGGAAGCTGTGGTCATTGTATACTGAAGGATCTGAAAAAGGCTTTGTTTCAATGCTTGTCCTTTACCCTTCTTTTGTTTTCTTTTAAATCAATAGATCAGATCAAAGATCACTCCCTCCTTTGCTCTCAAAACCTGTCCCTCTCATCCTCAGCCCTGCTACACCTGGATTCTAAATGACAACTGTGTGCTTTTAATGAGTCAGTGAGGATCACCCAGACCTGCAGGGAGCAGAGTCCCTGACTTAATTAAATGTTACCAGACCTGCATGGATGCTCAAACATTAACTCTAGCCGTGTGGAATTCTCTAAGATGCTGGTCCTGAGATTGGCCTTTGCCTATGAATTCTGGAGTTAGGCAGCACATTGTTAGGAACAGTTACTGCCTTTCTAGTTCAGTTGGGGTTAAAAGCCTTTTCAGCCAGGATTTTAGGTATGACATAGGTAAGAGGTTGGCTTGAAGTAACTCCTTGCAGACCTTCTCAAGTAGATGTCACAAGACTGCCCTTTAACACTGGACTGTTTGCTTTTCCTTTTGAGTGGAGATGGGGAAGCTGATACAGTAAAGTTAATTTGGGTCTTTCTGCTCTGTAAGTGAAAATTCAGGAGTGGAATCAGACAAAATATTATATTTTGGACAAAAATTAATGATGCAGTACATTTCCTCAGCATGTGTAAGTCTGTCTTTGCTTCCAGACTCTAGCAAAAGTTCTAGATCCTGCAAGAATCAAATAAAAGAGTCTTCCAGCCTCCACCCTAGTGCAGTTCTTAGGTGTTTCTGACCTCAGGATTCTTGATGCAGAAGCCTAAAATGCTTCTCAGATCCTGTTTTGAAAGTAGAGGCATTTGGGGCTAAGGATGGTGTAAAGAGGGATCCTTCAGGCTCCAACCTCAGTTTTGAAAGGATGTACAAGGTTTGACCTGTGGGCTGTGTTACAACTCTGTCCACACTGTAATTTGGTGAATCCAAACCTTACTGGAATTGAAGTGTAACAGTGTATGTATATCCTGCCTTGGTGTGTGGGGAAAGGAAAGAACTGGGTTTATTTCTTATCAGTGATACTGGGCTGTACTAGAAGTTCTCCTCATTTCTTAAAATCTGTTCCCAGCTGGCAATTTCAGGTGCTGAGAAGGTGATGTTGAGCATGTTTTGATTTATGCTGTATTCAAGGCTCACAGTCTGTGTTCAGTGAACGGTGCAGTCGTATAATTGAATCTCACTTCGGCGTATGATTCCATTTCTTGTCATCAAACTTTTGTCTGGTGTGATCTGCCAGCCCCTCCACACTGTAGCACACAGCCCAGTCACTCTGTTGTAATATTCTTTCTTTTCAGGTGAACAATCAGAATAATGTTCTACATAAACCTGTTGGAGAACCTGAAGGTTTACATCAGCAGCCGACCTCCGCTCGTGGTCTTTATGATCAGTGTCAGTGCTATGGCAATAGCTTTCCTGACACTGGGTTATTTCTTCAAAATCAAGGAGATCAAGTCACCAGAAATGACAGAGGTAGGTACAAAAAGTTCCTGAGCTAAGCAGTGGATTATTTTTTCCCCCATAAGAACTCTGTCTTGTGTTGTGGTTTAGGAATGTTCAGTGCCCCCACTGAGTGTTCCCTGCTCCCCCCTCTCCAGCTGGAAGCACAAAAGGCAAAGATCACAGGTTGAGATAAGAACAGTGTACTGGAAACAGCAATGACATAGCAAAACAAACAGTAACAGCAACAATATTAACGACAAAAGGTGTAAGAAAAGAAATTATTTACATGGACTAACATTCCCGAGAATAGACAACACTGGACAGCTCCCTCCACCATGTTTTCTCAGCTAGAAGGAACACTCTTTCCCCCACCAATGATGGGAGGTGGTATAGCATAACTCAACTCCTGCAAAAAATTAACCCTGTCCTGGCCAGAAACCAGAACATTATGAGAGAGCAGAGAATCTTGTGGGAGATTGTCTTCATTTATGCTTGCCACTCATTTCATAGGGGAGAGGCTGTTGGTGTCAATGTTTGGCAGTCTTGTTTTATTTCGAGGATGAGCCCAAATCATCTGTCATGGATCTTCCCTACTGTGTCTAGAAACCTTCGTGTTTCTTGCTCTGTTGGGCCAGCTGGCTGTTTTGGGGAGCTCCTTACCTAGCAGGACTGTTCTGTAATGAGGGAAACCTCGCCAGAAACCGCTCCTACCCCGGGCACGGCGGGAACAGACCGAGTCAGGATGTTCCCTTTGTAGTTCAGAGGATGCTGTGCTGAGCTGTGGTCAGACAGTGGCTGGGATTGAACACATCTGACTTCTGTAAACAGCTTGCCCCGTTGTTGAGACAGCCCTGGTGATGTTTGTGCTTGCTTTGTGAGCTGTGTAATTTTTGTTAAATGGCTTGGAACGTGGGCGGGATGGTGCCTCTCAAGGCGTGCACAGCTCCCCAGAGGTGGCAGCCAGCAGTAACTGGCTAATTTGGTTGAAATCTCTGTGTTTGTTTTAAGGACTGGAATACTTTCCTCCTGAGGTTTAATGATTTGGACTTCTGTATATCTGAGAATGAAACCTTGAAGCATCTCATCAATGATACCACAACTCCAGAGAGCACCGTGACCAGTGGACAGGCGAGATCTTCCACACAGTCCCCACAGACTCTGGAGGACTCTGGTCCAATAAACATCTCAGTTACCATCACACTGACCCTGGACCCACTCAGACCATTTGGAGGATATTCTCGCAATGTCACACATCTGAGCTCCACAATTTTTGGGCACCAAATTGGACTTTCAGGTATGCAAGACTGGACCTTTAAAAATTCAGTTTACAGTTGGCTCTTAGAGGTTTTTTCATTTCAAGAGGGATTGGCTTCAGGCTGAAAGAAAGTAGGTTTAGATTGGATATTAGGGAAGAAATTCTTCCCTGTGAGGGTGGTGAGGCCCTGACACAGGTTGCCCAGAGAAGCTGTGGCTGCCCCGTCCCTGGAAGTGTCCAAGGCCAGGCTGGACAGGGCTTGGAGCAGCCTGGGATAGTGGAAGGTTCCCTGCCCATGACAGAGGGATGGAATGAGTTGAACTTTTCTTTCCAACCCAAACACGTGATTTAAATGCTTCTATCATTTGAATGCTAACTGTATAATCAAATAAAAGTTCACCAGCTAATTATTGGTATATAAATCTTTCGTGTACAACAGAGATGTGTTTCCAGATTTGTTGTGAGTATATTCCTGTGTAGAGCCCTTTACTTGTTTGTTAGGAGAACTCTTCCCTGCATTCAGAGTGGCAAAGAACCTGCAGGTGAACCCAGATTAGACTTTGCAGTTTTAAATGATTAACCTAATGACAATGGAAGGTAATTTTTAAGCCAACAGAATTCCAAACAGCAAAAGCTTGTAAAGTGACTGTCTTCAGATCTGTCTTGATACATCTTCAGGTCCTTAACTGACATTTTAAAGGCAGTGACAAATATACATTAGAGAACAAGTATCATGTTGTCTAAAAAAATGTGATTTATCTAAAATACATATGTGAATAAGCTTGAATATCACAAACAGCAACAGATAAGATGATGACAGTTTCTGTGATGGGGAATGACCAATCTACTGTGTGGCTGCCTACCCGTAAGTTTTGACAGGAGTTTTTGGAAAATTAATGGAAATTGATAATAGAACCTCACTGAATTTTAGCTTTTAGCCAGGGTTGCATTTTGTAATAATCTCTGAAGGAGTCTTGAACCTGAGAGACCTGTGGAGAGACATTGCCCATAGCTGCAAATCTATATTATTGTTTTTCCTGTTGTTATTTTGTTGCTGCTTTAAGAGCTATCAAATGCAAGTTCTATTTCCAGCAGCCTGGATTTATTTATTTTGAGTCTGAATATATCCACATGGAGTTATTGTACCTGACTTTATCTGCAGTCCAATGTCTACTGGTACCTTTTTGTCTACACAGATACCTCCAGATTGAAAATTGAGCATCAGAAAAAACAAATGTGGAATGAAGTTTTTAAGAGAAAGGCTAAAGATCTAAAGATTTTACTTTCTAATAAAGTTCTCTGAAACATGCAGGAGTTCACTTATAAATAGTTTTTAATTTCTGAAAGGAGCTTAGTGACCCCAGTTCTTCTGGGGCGGGAGAGATTAGAAAGACCAGCAGCTGGGCTTTTTGTAGTTTGTTTTGGTTTTTAACTTTGTTTTTGCTCCCTTTGTTGCTACTAAAGATCCGGGATGACTTCAAAGGTACAGATTCAGGGTGGTGGTTGCTGCCTTAGTCGTTTGTGTGTTGTCCTTATCCTGGTGATTGTTGCTCAGATACTTTTGTGAACGAAAACCAGCTTTCCTTCTCTCTTTCTCAAAGGCAGAGAATCCCATGAGGAAATAAATATTACATTCACCCTGCCAGCTGCCTGGAATTCAGATGACTGTGTTCTTCATGGCCACTGCGAGCAGGTCGTGTTCACAACCTGCATGACTGTGACAGCAGCCAGCAATGTATTTCCTGTCACAGTGTAAGTGCTTTTTAAACACTCCTTCCCAGACTGGTTCCTGGGTGATTAATTCCTCAGCTGGTTCTCTGAGGATGTTAGTTCCTGATGAACATTCCTGTTGACCGTGGAAATTATGTACCTTCCCTCCTTCCCCCACAGTAAAACATTTGTCTTGGAACTTCTGCTGTCTTTTAGCAGCACTAGATTTTTCTGAGGGTGTTTTAAACCATAGCATGTTTTTTAAACATGCCTTTCAACATGCTACCTAAACTTCACTGGGAGCAAAACAATCCGTGGAGATTTAAGAAAGATACCCTATTATTTAGTGTCACTGCCTTGGGTGAGAGATAAGATTTGATCCTAAGGTTCTTATCCTTTTCCCTGCTGAGAAATCAGCAAAATGCTGTTGTGCTGCCATGCCCTTGCCCCAGCAGGTACAGACCTTCCATAAAATAGTCTCCTTTTGTCTCGTCTGGATTCCCTGACACTATTCAACCCAACCTGGAGAACCACCAGATAGATTAACATGTGTGAAACCTTATGAAAACCAGTGTTTTCCCAATTAAGCTGTGGGATGTTGACTTACTGGAACAACATGCAGTTAAATTCTAATCTTAGTATGGGAATCATATGGTTTTTATAGATCCTTTTGCTTAAGCTTTGGGTTTTTTTATTGTTTTGGAAGGTCCATCCAAACTAAAACTGGGGTTTGAGAGGGCAGTAAAAGTTCTCCTTACTGAACATGGAGAATGTGCTCAGGGTGCTAATTATTTCTGTTTTTTCTGCAGTCAGCCACCACATTGTGTTCCTGAAACATACAGCAATGCTACCCTGTGGTACAAGATCTTCACCACAGCCAGGGACTCTAACACCAAATATGCACAAGATTATAACCCCTTCTGGTGTTACAAAGGAGCAATCGGAAAAGTGTATCATGCTTTAAATCCCAAGCTAACTGTTATAGTTCCAGATGTAAGTGCTGGGGTGTTTCTATGTGTTATTTTGGATAAATGCTTAGCTCTGTTTCAAGTGAATGTGGTTCTGTTCACGTCCTAAAATAGGCATGTTCAGTGCTGGTTTATTATGTAGGGCTGAGACAGAGCTGGGAATGCTCTACCCCCAGTGATGGTCTTCATGTAATCTCCATGTGCCTCACAGCTCTTAATAACGAACATTTATATTTTGAAATCATTTAAAAGCCTCTGCCAGTATTTGGGAAAAGATCTATAACACAGGTTTTTAACACAAGGAACATTTTGGCTCTTTGTGCCACAATTAGGAATCGCTTTCATTACTACACCAGCTGCATAAAGGGGGGAAACTTGATTCATTAAGTAATTTCCATGTTGATCTGATAATTATTGCTTTAATATAAAATGCCAACCATTGGTGCTCTGTCAGTAAATGGTTTTAATTCTCTGGGCAGGATGATCGCTCCCTAATAAACCTGCATCTCATGCACACCAGTTACTTCCTTTTTGTGATGGTGATTACAATGTTCTGCTATGCAGTTATTAAAGGCAGACCAAGCAAACTGAGGCAAAGCAATACAGAATTCTGCTCTGAAAAGGTGAGTCTGTGTGGTAACAAAATATTGACTCTGATAAGAAAACACAGAAGATGTTTTTTACACAGGACAGACTGGTTTTTCTTGTCTCTGGAGATGTAGATTTAATGGCCTTCCAAAGAGACACGGGTGTTTCATTGTGGACAGTATAGGTGGGTGCTACAAAAGGCATATATGTGCTTTGTATATCCTAAGAATTAGATTTCTGCCCCACAGAAGTGGATTATTGCAGCTCAGTAAGTGCAGGGCTGCAGCTCTTCTGCCATAATTCTGATGTTACTTGAACTGTTTTGTGTGAAGCACTGAATAGATGGCATTGAGTAGTTCTATTTATCTTTTATCACAACAGGCTGAAAGCTTTGACTAAAACATGATACATAATTCTAATGGTTGGTAATCAGAACTAAATTAAAAACAATAACAAAGCTATTGAAGCAGTCATTGTTCAGTAGTGCTTTGGAGGATTTGCACTTTGCTTGAAGGATTAAATATTAAATTTATTAACTTGTGAAGTAGAAAGCCATTGTTGACACGTTTTGATCTTAATGATGTTTTGTAGAATAAGCTGGTTTGGTTTTTTGGGTTTGAATGGTTTGAGTTTTTTAATTTTATTGATTATGCTGAGTACAAAACACCTTCAGACTTACTTTGATTTCCTTTCCAAGTTAGACTTCCCAAGGTTCTTTGAAAAGGCAAGCACAGATATGCCAGCTGCACAGAGATAAGTAATATCACTGTAACAGGATTAAGAACTTGCCTTTAATTAAATGTTTTCTTTCTCTTTTGTTTAGGTTGCTTTGTCAGAAGCATAATCCATCCTCTCCTTTTACCGAGAATGACTGAGAACCGTAATCATTGCCTGCTGAACCCAGACTGGGTCTTGACACTCTGTGAATACATTATCTTGCAATGTTGGTTTATTCCAACCAAAGACATTTCAAGTGCCTGTAATTGATTTGTACATATTTATAAAAGTATATTCAGAATAGGTCAGAGGATGCACTTGTTCCGCATCGTAGTGCGGCCGGAAACCTTCAGTCTTTCCCTGTGGACATAGCGGAATGTTTGTGTAGATATGTTTAGTGATATGGCTACTTATAGTCAGAGCAAGATATTTTTGTCTAGCTGCATCTGGGCAGGTTAAGATGCCTTTGCAAGTGTCTCAAACAAACCAAGAGATCTTTGGTTGTTTTTTTTTTTTTTTGCCCAATATGTACAGTGTGTTTGAAACAGTATGCACCTTTGATATAATACTGCATTTCCAAAGCCACCAATCTACTACATGACTTAAATGTGTATTTGTGTGGCCTAATACTTTCTTCCATTTGCTCCTTGCTTGCAAGAAAAGATATCAACATTTTAGAATTTTTTTCTTTTTTTTTTTTGAAAAAAAAAAAGAAACACATATTCACATTTTAATAGTGCTGTATTTAGGACAAACTTGTGCTTTTATTCATAGTAAAAAAATTAAGAAGTGAAGTCCCATTTTAAACTGTTTCTTACTGAAAAGTACTGATTGATTTTTTTTTTAATTTATTTTTTGGGGTTTTTTTGGTTTTTTCATTTGGCTTGCTGAATGCCAGAGAACCAGTCAGCACAGAGACTATCTGGAAAACTTTCCACTTGGCCTCCCATCCGCACCCCTCAAGCCAGGATTCTGTGTCTCTGCTGCAGAGCAGCTTTCTGTAAACTTCTTCTTTTTTTTTTTTTTTCTAGAAAGTGAAACTTAATAAAAAGATGTATTGTATTAACAGTCTGTCGGGGCTCTGCACAGCCTTGGGCAAGTGCAAATAATGAAAGGAAAAGAAATCCCATAGTCTGTTACAGAGCTTCACTTTGGGACTCTCCATCCATCTCAGAAGGGCAGCTAAAATGACCCTTTGATTGGCTTTGTCCCATTCCCATTTAATGCTGTCCACTCAGGGGAAAATGACAAGAAGAGTAGGGCTGTTGTGATTAAGGTCAAAGAAACCACACAGTCAAACACTTTCTGTTCTCTGTGTCAATTCTTAAATCCGAGGTTTTATTCTGTGCATTTCTTCCCTTTCCCATTCTGCCTTTTGCTGGTTTTCTTTCTGGCTCCTTATTGAGTAGCCTCCTTGATTTCAGGAGTCAGGGTCTTCCTGCAGACATTTCCACCACTGCTTTTAAAATCTCAACTGGTTGCCTTAATTGACCTTTCATCTTGTCTCTCAGCTTTCTCATCAGTGTAACAGGTCTGCATTCATACCCACAGGCTTTTTTTTCCTCCTCCTTTTGCTCTAAACTACACAAAAGGAAAAAGCCAACTCACAATCTCATAGTCTCAACTATGCTGGCATAAAATTCTCAGTTTGTTACCTACAGACACCGTTGATTGGTATCCACTGGGCTGTGTGTGGGACTTCAGTAACTTCACGAGTCTTAAGAGTGTTAGAAGTGAAAGAGTCACAGTTTTCTTCAGAACATGTTTCCTTATAGAGTTTCAGTTACTTAAGTAGTATTAACTAACATGTTTTCTCCAGGGATGTTAAGGCAGAGCTTTAGACATGGCCTAGTTTGAAGTCTAGGGATAAAACGAAGCTTCCAGTTTTCTCCTGATGCTGCTATGGGCTATTGCTGCTTCCCTGAAACGAGTCAGAGGAGTCAAACAGGTAGACAGCTTCTCCTGAAAACAGTTCCTAATTCACCCATGCCCAGCCTTCTGTGTTAATACTGACTTTGAGAGTTGCCTACAAGGGTGGCTGATCTGGGGACCAAAGGCAGGAAATAGGAAATGGATTGGGGGGGGAGAGTTATTTCTGGAAATACCTAGAAAACACCCAGTGTAATGTGACTCCTTTAGAAAAGCAAAGCCAAATGCTTTCACAGAATTAAGAATCAAAACTCCAAATGTCCAAAGTGGAATTTGGTCTGCTGGGGAAAACAGATTTGGTTTTTTAATCTGTCTTTGCTAGTTGACAATTAAAGGAGCCTCCTCGAAAACTTCTCACCCACTCTATTGAAGCCCCCAGAAATACTAAGATTGTGACCCACAAATGCAAAAGGGAAGATGTTAGAGAGTTGTATTTTTTGGCCTTAGTTTATCCCTTTGCACCCCTGTATTGCAGCAGAGAGGTGAGAGTGTCCCACCAGGTGGACGTGCTGTAATACTGAGGAATATTGGATTGTTCCTGGGCGTGGTGTACAAAGTTAAATGCAGCCAAACAGAAGAGTTAAAACTTAATATTAAAGTTCAGATCATATTGATCTTTCCTTTTTTTGTTTTCTTTTTTCTTTTTAACTATGACTTGAATCAGTTTTGATTCTATTTGTACGTGTTTTCTTGTTCTTAGAAAGCTGCCGTTTTCTTTTGCGTTTTCTTTGGCATTACATAGAAAATCTGAGCCTTGGTTTCAACCCTCTGCAGGTGATTGTAGGGTTAAGATGGCTGTTTTGTTTTGTTTTGTTCTTACATTTCACTTGTCTTGTTGCATGATGGTTAATAGCTGATTTGGAAATGACATTTCTCTCCTAGATTAATTTTGTGTTTGTAAGATGTGCATATTGCTTTGCAGAATAAAAACTATGAAGTTTATTCCGTTGTCTTTATTTCCACAGCCCAGTTGCTGCCGAGGTTTCATAGATCACCTATGTTATTTGGGCCACTGGAGGAAATTAGTAGTGAAAATCTGCAGCAGTGTGGAATTTCAAAACCTTTGGTGGAGTGAGCACCTTATGTAGACTTGTTTTCTTCATGTTTTATGGTGTAGGGAATGTAGCCTGATGCCCATCACGCAGATTTTGTGTCTTAGACCCACCTCTCCTCTTGCTATTCCTTGGTGATGATCATTCCTTCCACTGCCTCCTCTCTACAAATACTGGGTAACTTACTCAGAACCAAGACCAGATGCTGAGCATTTCCCAGTGGCTGGAGGATTTATATGGATGAGGGTTGAAATGAAGATAATGTGGCCTGTTAAGTTGTAACCCCAGCTGGAACAAGTTGCACCTGCATGTTTTCAGTGCTTGACAGAGTGGGAACATCGTTGTTTTGCTCTTGGAAGCTTGTTAAGAGCCAGGCACTGTGTGTTTGTCAAGTGCAGGAAGGTCAGCCTGCCTTTCTTCTCTAAAAAACACTTCAAAGCATCCAAATGCTGCCTATTCACATCTGGTGGTGAAAGGGAGCATCTTTTAAAAGCAAATCTGTGACACTGTTTTATAATTTTTACTGAGAGACTCTAAGAATTAGTAGAAAAAAGTGATTTTAATTTTTTTTTTTTTTTTCCACAAATCCCCTTGGGATGGGTCTAGGAAACCTGGCTACTTCTGAAATGCCTGGAATGAGCCTTAATGCCCTGTGTTAGCACTGTCCCAGGTTTGAGTGAATGTTGCTACTTCAGGGAGCAATTCTGAATTCTGTCCCTCAGCCATCAGAGAGGAAGAGAAAGGCAGTTGGACACGTATCCACTTGTTTTGTTAAACAAACTCTCTTTCATAACGAGCAGCCGCTGTTTGACAAGTGCAGGGCTTTGTTCAAAGGGTTTTATACAAGTGCAACTTCCTTGAGGAAAGTCCTGGTTTCATACTCACGGAGTTACACTTGAGTAAACTGACAGGAGGATCCGTGGGGAGTTCCTGCTGGGGGAAAGGTACTGAGCAAATCAATAGGTGATTGAATTTGGTTTGTTCTAAAGTTAAAAGGTGAGCAACCTGCTGCCTGGACTATTTCCCAAAGTCTTTTACATAGCAAAAGTCCTGCTGCAGTTTAGTGCCACAGCCTTAAGTCAGGTTTTACCAAAGCTTCCTCCTGGCTCCTGATGGTATGAGCAGCTTAAAAGTAGATGTTTTAAGCAGGTGGAGGGGAGGGGGAGAGGCCATTCTGCTGCTATTTCCAGGTGCTGGAAGGGTGGGGTTCACTGGATCACACTGTAATCAGGCTGTTTTCTCATAACGATGGTGTTTGTTAACAAACTGAAACAAGGGCAATGAAAACTTACATAAAGGTTGCTCATCTGGAAAACACGCACGTGCTGTGTTTGCAAGCAGATTACACCCAATGTTAGCAGGCTGGGATGAGAGGGACCATCTGCCATCAGCAATGGCATTTCTTTAATCGGGTGTTTTGTGCCAAATATTTTGGTCTTACGTGAAAGCGTTGCAGAAAATGAGGAGCAGCATCTGTCTCCTTGCAGCAGCGTCTTCTTCCTGCAAGGAAATTGCTCCAGCTTTCTTCATAAACTGGAGAGTTTCAATGAAATGTTGCTCTCCAAAGTTCATATGAATGAGTGTGCCGGCAGCTGCTGGAATTTGGATTGTAAATTCTCCTTTTCTCTTCCCTCCAGCACTAATCAAAACTTTGCTGGTGATGAATTGCCTGGCAGAGTGAGAAAATAAATCTGTAGCTAAAGGTAGAAACCCATGTTTCTGTTAAGCTCTTGTGACTTGTTTGTCTGCTGGCAGCAGCTAACTCGGTGACTTTCAGACTTTTGATTTCTGAGCCCCACAACCGTCCTGGAAGGTCCTCAGAAGCTGCACACACAAAGGTTCCTTTGTGGTATCCTTTCTGTCAGCTTTTGCCAACCTTTTGGATGTAGTCTGTGGACTGACCTTGAGGTGTCTGTTAACCCTGGGTTGAAAACAGCTCAGCTAAATAAACCAGCTGAGGAGCAAGGTGGGAGCTGGCTGGGTTTGGATCTTGCCCCAACACCGTTGCTGAGCAGTGTCCCTGTCCCTCAGTGCCCTGCTCCAGAGATCCGGGTTCCTCACTGTGCCTTTTGCTGGGTCACTGGGACAGCCTGCTTTGTGTTTCTCCTTTACAAAGAGCTTTTACAGCTCTAAGTGCTGTGACCTTTACTGATAGCAGGAACTTATCCTTGGCCTGCCAATGCATCTGACCAACCACGCTGCTACAGGGAGGGGGAGACTCTGTCCTGCCCTCCAAGGCTTCCCAGTAGAACCAATATTCCCTATTTACCTTTGGAAGATGTTTCTTTACAGGATATTAAAGAAACAGTTGGGATCTAAGCATAGACTTCCATGTGCTGTCTCTATTATTAGCTCCTTGCAACATGATTCTTGCACCTTAATGAAATAAATAACAACATTAGATTTAATCTGTAGTGACAAAAGAGTAGGGCAAGGCAGAGACCAGCTTTTGGGTAGACCTTATTAATGTTAGTGAATAAAAGATTTTACAGCACACTACCTTATCCTTTGAAAAGGTCCTTGCTGGTAATCACCTCTATTTTCTAGCAAGAGGAGGCTGGCAATATATTTTCTGTGGTCTTGGTGTAAATCACAGCATGGAGTTGTTTTGTCACTGGGGAAAGGATGAGAGCCCATGGGCAACTTGAGTGAGTGACTGAGAAACGTGGTTCAACTCGTGATGTCCTTGTACCCATTTCACCCCAGAGCCCTGTATGAGCAAAATTGTCACCTTTTAGCAAGCACAAAGGGGTAAGAAAGGTGATTATGGGGCTGTGGCCTTGTGCAGCTCCTCCCAGCTGCCCAGGTGGGATTTTCACCCTGGAATTTCATTGTTTTCCCTGGTCTCTTCCCCTCTCCTTGCCTTGCCAGCAGAAGTGGTGGAGCAGCTGGGACTGGTCACTGCCTGCTCTGTTGTGGAGGGTCCCAGGTGGGTGGATTCACCGTTTTGCAGAACGAGGGGCAGCTGCACGGGGTTTGCTCTGCAGTTGGGGTATAGCTGGGTAGGCTGGAGCCTGGCCCTTGCCCACAGGTGATGCCAATCCCCCTGATAACCCCTCAGCCGGGTGGTGGGGCTGTGCCAGACCTGGGACAGTCACCTCCCAGCACTCCCTGGTGCTCCGTGGTCAGGGGGGTCACTTGTCTCCCCCGGAGACCCCGAAGAGGTATTTTAAGCAGTAAATTGATGGTTTGGGTGTGATGGAAGTGAACAGGCTGCACTGGAGTTGCTGGATTCCTCTGGCCCTGGTGAGTCCCTGTGGGTGTGGGGGGCTGCAGGGGTGACTCCAGCAGTGTATTTGTTGTTGTGGGGCGAAACTGAGCTTCGGAGGGAGCTCAGGGTGGTTTAGGAGACTGTGGTCAGTGGGCTCGGGGGGCACTGTAGTGAGGGGAGGATAAGGAGACCATTGCCAGGGGCCTTAGAGCAAACGGAGGTGGCTGGATGTGCCCTAAACTTGAGCCTCACCCTCCTCAGAGCCTGGAGGGGGGTTCCTTAAGGCTCAGGGAGGAGGGAAAAACAGCTTGAAAGTGCAGATTTCCAAGGAAATCCTCTCACAGGCAATGCAGGTGACCTGAAAATGCTTAGAAACAAGGAGAAACCCAGCACTGATCTGGGTCAGGAAAAGAAGCCTGAGCCTCCCGCGAGGGAGTAATTTGTAGGACTGAGGCGAGCTGAGAACTGTCAGCGGGGAAGGGGGGCTGGAAAGGGGAGCCCGGTGTGAGGGGAGCCCTGAGGACACAGGGGCTGGAAGGAGAGCCCGGAGTGGTCTCGGGGCTGGAAGAGGCAGCCCGGAGGACGTGGGGGCTGGAGCGGGGAACCTGGAGTTGGGGGAGTCCTGCGGAGGGAGCGGCTGGAGGGGGAGCCCAAAGGAGGGGTGTCCCCGCGGCTGGAGGGACTGTGTTTGGGATATCCCTGCGGATGGAGGGGCTCTATTTGAGGTTATATCCGCGGCCGGAGGGGCTGGATTTGGGGTTATCCCCCGGGCCGGAGGGGCCGGGTTCGGGGTGCGGATGGAGGGGCTGTGTTCGGGGTTATCCCTGCGGATGGAGGGGCCGGGTTCGGGGTGCGGATAGAGGGGCCGGGTTCGGGGTTATCCCTGCGGATGGAGGGGCTGTGTTCGGGGTTATCCCCGCTCTGCCCCCGCAGCACCGCGAGGTGGCGGCACGAGCTCGGCCTGAACGCGCCGAAAGGAGCCGATGGAGCCGGGAAAGGCTCCACCGAGGGGTGTGTGCGGCCCCAAGGGGAGCGGGGCACCCCTGGGTGGGGCTGCTGCGGGTTGGGGTCTGTGTCTGTTGGGTTGTGTCACATCTGAGCGGCTGCTGCCCTCCTTCCCCTGGCGACCGGCTCCTTGTCCGATGTTGTGGATCCCCTAAAATAGCGGGGATTCGTTTAGGAAGGGATGGAAAATTGCATGAACAGCAGCAGTTTTCCAGCCTTTTCCCCCCACGATGTTCCCCAGTGGTCTCTCACTTCAGGTGCTGTTTGGACTTGGCTCAGGTTTTGTGTGCTGAGCGCAGGTGTAGGAGTGAAAACGGGGATTTTCCAGCGAGGTTGACTTTATCTGTAGCTCCGTGTCCCTCGGCAGGCCCTCTTGCAGCAGAGCCAGCTGAGGTGCCGGTGGGGACAGGGAGAGCTGTGAGATCTCCCCATGGGAGAGGCATTCCCAGCCGGCACAGGGAGATCTGCGCGTTTGGGGGGGCTCTGGTGCTCCCTCCTGCATCCCTGCTCTCCACCGTGCCCCCCACTGCCTCCAAGCACAGCAGGACACCACGCTGTGCCGAAACACCTACCTGACAAAATGCCTCGTGTCCTTGTCTCCATCTGTATTTCCAATAAACAGCAAACCCAGCCTTAGCACTCACTTAGCAGCAGGCACGTGGTGTCCCCCTGAG